AATTCTTTATTAAATAGTATGCCTGCTTTTTGTCAGCGCATAAGTTGGCTATATATTTTGCCATCATTCATTTCAGAGGCGCGGTTTTAGGAATTCTCTGCTGGCAGGCCCCCATTGTTTGGGGGGTTTTTGCTTGTTTTCCCCGTTGATAAGTTTATTTTGAAAAGTATCTTGGCCTAAATATTGGACTGGGCACGCGACACGCTCCTCTGATTTATCTCTGTTTACTACCGCCTTTGTTTTGTTTGGACTCGTCGCCGTCCTACTCGTCATGTGTGGCATGTGGCGGCTAGCCGAAGATATGTATGTGCGAGTATAAGCATTAATTCTGGATGGATCAGATCAGGGCAATTTAGCTTATACAAAAGTGGCAAGTGGGAATTGGAAGGCCTAGCATAATATATTTATGATGATTTTGACATCGTATTTTCCGAAATTAAATGTCCTTTTAATAAATTTCAAATTTATGCTAATGATCTTATGAACTGGCAAGCATATGACATGTCTGTCTATAATTAACTGAAAATTTTATACTTTCGGCATAAATTATTTGATAATAAATAGATACGCGTTTCTAAAGAGCAGTTTCGGATGATTCAGATGATTCTATACCATCCACTAGTGTGTCTTCATTTATTTTGTTTATCTCTCCGTGGGAATTGGATGAATTTCTTGTCAACATCTTCATCCAATCCCCGTTCATTGTTGTATATAAGAGATGATGTTTTGACAGACGGAAAAACTCATGGGAATGCTGTGTATATGAATATTCCCTGCTGCATATCCTAAAAATACGCACCCCGAGTTTTTATAAAAAGATCAAAATTTAAATCGAATTTTTGGGCACGTGCTCCATTAGGTATGTCTCCAGCATATGTGGCCAGATATTGGACACATAAATAGTATAGCTTTATGCATTTTGTGTGGCATATACAGGAAGAGGGAGCGGAGATCCACCTACATATGTATAGCCCAACTATGTATGTATATAGAACCGATGGGAAAGCGTAAAGTGTGTGTCCTATATTTGACCTCCAAGAGATTCGGGAACGATGTTGTTGTCGCTCTGCGCGCCTGACGGCGTGGGAAAGTATAAAAGCAATTGTAGGCGTTGAGGGAAATTTCTTTGGAAAGCCACAAGATTACTGGCCCCTCAGTCGATGCAAAGCATTCGTTCAGTGGAGAAGTGAATTTTTACCACGGGCTGCCCCAAAACACCAAGGATATTCGCAAAAGGATACTCAGCCATCACCCAATAAAAAAACCCAACAGGCAATACATTCGTGGGCGATAAAGTATGTGTTAATTGAATGAAATATATTCGACATAAAAATACGAGAGAATTTATTAGTTATACGATCCTGTTCGAGCAAAAAACTTTTCAAAATCTATGGAATCTTTGGCAGAAACATTTGGTGCAATTAATTTACTTTTCCGTGCGACATCTTCGATCTTTAGATCTGTGCTCTGTGTGTGTTCTGTATGTGGTGTGGAGATCAAAAATAGATTCTGTGGAATAAAAAATGGCACGCAAATTAGAACATAAAAACGAAATTATGATTTCTTCCAACGCCCACGCAGAATACCATCCGAAGAGATACTATCTGTTTTCGGTGACATCATTTTGCGTTTATAAACACATCCAAATAGAGGGTGTTTCCATAGTCCCTGGGGGTGTGCACTGTACTTTTCCAGTGAGCAATTGCTGATCTTCCGTGTGCCTTCTACTTGCAGCTGAAGTCAAAATGCCAAGCGGTAAGGTAGACAAACCCGTTATCCAGGACAACCGTGATGGAACCGTCTCGGTGAAGTACGACCCCCGCGAAGAGGGCTCCCACGAGCTGGTCGTCAAATACAATGGAGAACCCGTCCAAGGTAAGTGAATCGATGCCACATGAATGTGCATTTGCTGATGTCCGGGGTTTCCGACAGGTTCTCCCTTCAAATTCCACGTCGATTCGATCACCTCTGGCTATGTGACGGCCTACGGACCGGGCCTGACCCACGGCATCACTGGCGAACCCGCCAACTTCACCATCTCGACCAAGGGAGCCAGCGCCGGTGGCCTGACCATGGCCGTCGAGGGACCCAGCAAGGCAGTTGTAAGTTCGCGATAAGTTCCTTGTGCGATGGCTATTTAGAGATAGAGGCTATATCGAGTGGATTCTATTTTGCAGATCAACTACCATGACAACAAAGACGGCACTGTATCGGTGCAATACCTGCCCACAGCGCCGGGCGAGTACCAGGTGTCGGTTCGCTTCGGCGACAGGCATATCAAGGGATCCCCGTACTTTGCCAAGATCACCGGCGAGGGTCGCAAGCGCAACCAGATCTCGGTGGGCTCTTGCTCGGAGGTGACCATGCCCGGCGACATCACCGACGATGATCTGCGCGCCCTGAACGCCTCCATACAGGCGCCCAGCGGCCTGGAGGAGCCGTGCTTCCTCAAGCGCATGCCCACCGGCAACATTGGCATTTCGTTCACGCCCCGCGAGACCGGCGAGCATCTGGTCTCGGTGAAGCGCCTGGGCAAGCACATCAGCAACTCGCCCTTCAAGGTCACTGTCTGTGAGCGCGAGGTGGGAGATGCCAAGAAGGTCAACGTGAGCGGAGCCGGGCTCAAGGAGGGCCAAACGCACGCGGACAACATCTTCTCGGTGGACACCCGCAACGCCGGCTTCGGCGGTCTCTCCGTCTCGATCGAGGGTCCCAGCAAGGCCGAGATCCAATGCACGGACAAGGACGATGGCACCCTAAACATCTCGTACAAGCCCACCGAGCCAGGCTACTATATTGTCAATCTGAAGTTCGCCGATCATCACGTGGAAGGATCACCCTTCACCGTCAAGGTGGCCGGTGAGGGCAGCAACCGGAAGCGGGAGAAGATTCAGCGGGAGCGCGACGCCGTGCCTATCACGGAGATCGGCAGCCAGTGCAAGCTGACGTTCAAGATGCCCGGCATTACCTCGTTCGATCTGGCCGCCTGCGTCACCTCGCCCAGCAACGTCACCGAGGATGCCGAGATCCAGGAGATCGAGGACGGCCTCTACTCGGTGCACTTTGTGCCCAAGGAGCTGGGCGTGCACACCGTCTCGGTGCGCTACTCCGAGATGCACATACCCGGCTCCCCCTTCCAGTTCACTGTCGGTCCCCTGCGCGACTCCGGCAGCCATTTGGTGAAGGCCGGAGGCTCCGGCCTGGAGCGCGGCGTCGTCGGGGAGGCAGCCGAGTTCAATGTGTGGACCCGCGAGGCGGGCGGTGGCTCTCTGGCCATCTCCGTGGAGGGTCCCAGCAAGGCAGACATCGAGTTCAAGGATCGCAAGGACGGCAGCTGCGATGTCTCGTACAAGGTCACCGAGCCGGGAGAGTACCGCGTTGGGCTTAAGTTCAACGATCGCCACATACCCGACTCACCCTTCAAGGTGTACGTCTCTCCGGATGCGGGGGATGCCCACAAGCTCGAGGTGCAGCAGTTCCCGCAGGGTAACATCCAGGCGGATGCCCCCTACCAGTTTATGGTACGCAAGAACGGAGCCAAGGGCGATCTGGATGCCAGAATTGTGGCGCCATCCGGCACCGACGACGATTGCTTCATCCAGGCGATCGACAGCGAGATGACCTCGGTGCGCTTCTATCCACGCGAGAACGGTATCCATGCCATCCACGTCAAGTTCAACGGCGTCCACATACCCGACTCCCCCTTCAGAATCAAGGTCGGCAAGAATGTGGCTGACCCAGCAGCTGTCCATGCCACCGGCAACGGCCTGGAAGAGGTCAAGACTGGACACAAGGCCGATTTCATTATCAACACCTGCAACGCCGGCGTTGGCACGCTCCACGTCTCCATCGATGGCCCCTCCAAGGTGGCCATGGACTGCACAGAGGTCGAGGAGGGCTACAAGGTCCGCTACACTCCCCTGCTGCCCGGCGAGCACTACATCACGGTCAAATACAACAACGTGCATATTGTTGGATCGCCATTCAAGGTGGATGCCGTTGGCGATAAGCTGGCCGACGAGGGTGCCCAGGAGACGTCGACCGTCATCCTCGAGACTGTGCAGAAGGTGGCCAAGGGTGGCAAGAACACCGGCGTCCATCTGCCCAACTTCAAGTCCGATGCCAGCAAGGTGGTGCCCAAGGGCATGGGCCTGAACCGGGCCTACATTGGCAAGCAGAATCAGTTTAGCATCTGTGCCACCGATGCGGGTAAGTGATTTGTTCAGTCAATCAGTCATCCTTGACACTAACCAACCTTCTCTAGGAAACAACATCTTGTACGTCGGCATGTACGGACCGAAGGGACCCTGCGAGGAGTTCCACGTCAAGCATGCTGGCCACAACAACTACAATGTGCAGTATCTGGTGCGCGATCGCGGACAATATGTGCTGCTGATCAAATGGGGCGAGGAGCATATACCCGGCTCCCCATTCCAGATCGATGTCTAGATCTAGCCAGGCGGCATATATGTATGTGTAGGATATATGCCTCTCCGTGTATCGTGTCTGTGGGCGCTTTATTATGTACCGCATCCGCATGTTCCAGGGTCAAAATTCGTGTGTGTTTTTATTCTTGTTTTCATCTTATGTAATTTCTCTTTGTTTAATTTTAATTTCTTGGCTTTATCGCTCTACTTATATTAGGTAAGTTTTTTTGTTATTTGTATATACATGAAAGAAGCAGCTTCTGTTTTTTTTTTTCGTTTTTGTTTCGACTCGAGAAGGTAAAACGCGCCATTTTTCACCTTATAAATCTTACCTTAAATTTTATTTAACTTGTTTATGTTTTCTTGTGAATACATCGACTGAGCAATAAGCAAAGCAAAGCTCAATACAGATTGATTTAATAAAACTACTCGCTAACTAAATGAGAAAAGGAAATGAAAAGGATATTCAGACACAATTTTTGGGCACACAAGAAGTTACAGTACTACTATTGCAATGCGAATAAATCTCTTAAACAATTATTTAATACTTAAGAAAACATTTATGATGGATTATTATGATTATGACGTATTATGTTTTTTATTATCACCTATCGACATGTAATTTACGTGAAATAAATCAAACAAAATCTAAAAATATTTTTCCCTACTTTCTTCATGGATGTTTTGAAAACACCCCCAAATACGAACTAAAGAACAATTGTTACAAACAAATGATTAAGGTAACGGTATATGTAAGCTTATATTTATAACTGGCGCATCAATCGTCTGTGGGATCCCCCAGAACACTGTACACTTCACCATAACGCTGAATGTGCTCAAAGATGTCGTCTTCGCTGGAGCAAGAGGAAGTGGAGGTATTTAAATCATGCACCAGAGTCTGGGCAATGTCCGGGCTGGCACTCAGAGCAGCCGCCAGCTTGGGAGTAGGGCGATAATAAACCGAGTGGCGGCTGTCGAAGCTTCGAGTGCCAATGTGGTACTTGAGATACTTTTTGGCCCGCCGCTCTCCAATGATCCGCCCAAGGTCCAGCTCGGTGAGATTAAACTTGCCCGTTCCGGATGAGGAGCTGCTGTGCAGCAGTATGCCCCTCTTGGTGATTTTAAGCGGCGGCTTTGCCTCTTTTGTCTCACAGCTGGTTGTGGATGTCACCACAGTACAGTCAGCCTCACCGCCCGCTTCGTTTGCTCCCGCCGCTTCGGAGTTCTCCGTTGATGAATTAAGTACAATAATTGTGTCGACTTTCGCCTTCTGCTCTGAGCTGCTCACGTCAGAGCGCTTTTTAACTCTCGGTTTGTTGGAAAGAGCCCGAGTACAGGCCGTATCATTGGCCAGGGCGGTGGAGTTACAGGCCACGCTGTTATTGTGGAAGAGTGACTGCAATGGAGACTTTTTTGTCTGATCTGTGGATTGCAGGTTCGCCTTGGTCTTTTGGTCTGCTCGGCGCTTCAACTGCTCCTTTCTATATGTTTCCTTGGACAAGGCCAGGACGTGCTCCATCTCCTCTTCCGTGTCATTTAATGTCGTCGTATTTTGGCCATTTCTCTTCAGTTTTATATCTTCATCAGAGTGGTCGGCACTGGCTGCTTCGGCATTCTTTAGCGCGGAACATCGCTTCAGTTTTATAACTGGTATCTTTAGCGGTTGTTCATTGGATGGGAATTGGGAATCAGGCGAATGAACCACTTCCTCGCTGATTCGAGGCAGACTTACAGCAGACTTTGAATTGTCTTTCTTCTTGGCGGCAGATTTGGGTTTCAATCGCTTTTGCTTGGGCGTTTTTCCGATCTTCTTGGCTCCTTCAGAGCCGGTCATTGCTGTACCATTTGTACAAGGCTCATTATTGGGGACAATTTCTTCTGGGATATCTGTGGCCTTTGTTGAGAGGACGGCTGGCCTCTTCTTTTTTAATTCATCTTCCGAAGAAACGCTCTTGATCCTGCCAACGTCAGGCGTCAGTCCTTTCACAGACTTTGCTACATCTTCGTCTTCGCTGATTGGAGGCAAAATCTTTGACTTGACGGACAATACAGCTTTTTTCTTCGGCGCCTTTTCTGCAGAAGACATTATTGGTTGTTTCGATTTTTTTACTGCTTTTATATTTTCGGCCACCTTTTTCTCTTTTTGCTCCGAAAAACTCGCAAAACGGCTTCTACCTAGGAATTCTTTTTCATCCGAAGAATCGTTTACTACCATCTCAAGTTTGGGGGGAAGCTCGCTGATAGCTTGTCTTTCGTTTTCAACATTTTTTGTCTTGGCCTCGATTTCGGTGATTGGAGGCAAACTCGTCGACTTGATTGATGAAATAGCTTTCTTCTTGGGAGCCTTTTGCGCAGATGAGATTGCTAGAGCATGTGTGCTCCTTCCCTCCGAGCCACTCAATGGTTTTCTGCGCTCCAGTCGCTCGTCTTCATCGGAAGTGTCGCTGGCAATCAAATGTCTGTGGTGAGTCCTCTGACGCCTTGGAGTATGGGACGCTGACTTTTTTATCAATATATGCGGGGATTGGCCCTTGCCACGGTCACGACACTTGGAGCGAACTGTGGTCTGTGGTGTTTTCCTTACAGTGAAATGTTTCTGCACGCAGTTCAGACGATTGCTGCATTTGGTGGGCGTCTCTGTGAGTACGGGACTGTTGCAGTTCTCCACAACCCATTCCTCCGTTGAGCTGTTGGCAATGTGCACCACGTTGGAGCACAGTCGGTCGCTGTTGCAGCAGCTGCACTCGTTTTCCATGAGGCGCGGACGCAGGTCCTCCTGGAAGCTATGTTGACGGCGCATGCGGAGCATGGATCGTGATGATGCTGATTGGTGATGATATTCGCGCTGGCCGCGATATGAGCAGTATTCATACGCGCTTCTCGTCAGCACACGTCTTAGGCACGATCGGCAATCGCATCCGTTTAAGGTGGTATCCTCGTCCTCGCTCGAGGGCGAACAAAAGAACGATGAATCAACGCGACGCTTGCGTAGATTCTTGTGGCGCGAGTTATGGCTGCGGCTGCTGCTGCTGTGGGAGAAGTGCCTGGGACTGCTGGTGAGGTAGGCCAGCTTCCGCTCCCTCTCACGACGCCGATGTAGCAAAGCCTGCATGTGATGGCGGTGCTCCTGTTCATCGTCGTAGGCGTACTTGGCACGCAGCTCGTCGCGCTTGCACGAGTGTGTGCGATACATTTTGATTGTGCTCATGTTGGTCATCTTGGAGATGGGTGTACTACGCTGGCGACTCTGCATTATATAGCGGGCCGTGTCGACGGAGTGCAGCGACTCGCTGTCGCTGGAATCGGAATTCGAACGGTCATGCCTTAAGTCGTACCTTTGGGAGCTTTTTTCCTGACACAGACTATTGTTTCGGCGCATCCATTGGCCCACGTGTTGTTCGATCTTTTGCGCATCGAAGGTGTCCAGTATTTTGTCCAGCCCGGCCGCCTTCCACTTGCGCTTGTGCTCCTGGACAATGGGCATCGTTTGGTTCAGAATCTCCTCCATCTCGGCCGTTTTTTCTTTGTTCTCTCCCGCGCACAAAAGGATCGTCAGCTCCGCCTTGCTCATAGCTGTCGTTGTATTTATGTTTCCCATGTCCAAGTCCTCCTCCATTAGATCATCTTCGGCCGCCTCCTCATCCTCCTGCACATCGGGGTCTCTATCCTCGTCTTTATACAGTTGCTCCATGTCGCTCAAGTCCAATTCTTCGCCATCGCCGATTTCCCCGTAGCTCTACAAAGAAATTGCTTAGCATTCGTACTACCATTGGGACTGCAAAAGAGAAGCCTTACCTCCATCATGTTGGCCCAGCTTTTGGAGCGCTCGTAGGCCAGTGTCTCCAAGGTTTGCTCGTCCAATAGTGCATGCGACATGTTTGCATGAGCAGCTAATTGCTAATTTATTATTAATTTACAAAAATACGCTACAAAATCAAAAAGATGCGCTTGAAGTAAAAAAATGGCTATCAGTGTTACCGTATACAGAATATACCGTCTCATATTCAAATTATACTGCAAATATACCGATGAATACCAGAATGTTTGGAAATCCAGTATATGACAACAGGAAAAGTGTTACCAGGCATGTCAAGTCTGAGGTGGCTTGGCGGGAGTTTTGAATCATTTTTTTCTGTCGTTTTTATTTTGAAGTTATATATGTTTTACATTAGATTAATATTGCAGATAAACAAACGAAATACATATTGTATGCTTAAATAACTGTTCAATTGAAATACATATACATATCTCCTGTTGATGCTCCATTGGCCACTAAATGTCGGAATAAAATACATGTCTATTTCTGCTGTTTTTCTTCTTTCTCTTCTTTTGTTGTTATTCTGTTCGTGTCGGGTTGGTTGTGTTAATAATTTTATATATATATATATAGGTTGGTTGTTTGGAATTGGTTGGCCAGGCCGTTGGACGGCCCCTACTTGCGGTTGCGTATGGCGCGGTCCATGATATTGTTAATGCGCGTCTCCGAGTAGCCCGGCACGAGCATATGGATAAGCTCCTTCATAAACAGATCACTCACTCCCGGGCTGGACCGTTCGGCCAGCTCGAACACGGACTTAAGGTCCCCGATGTCGCTGCCGACGCCCATGTTCTTGCTGGTGTTGCCGCCAGAGTACTTCCTCTGGATGTCGCTCAGTACGGGGAAGAGGAAGTTGTTCAGACAGGCACTGTTCGTGTGGATTATGCGCTGGCCCGTTGGTTGCTGTTTCACATGATTGGAAGAGGGATGCTCGTCGTTGATGTTGTTGCTGTTGTTGCTGCTGCCGCTGCTGGCGTTTGTTGCATGGAATGATTCACGTTGGCTGCTGCGACGCTGCTGCTGCTGCTGTTGTTGCTGTTGTTGCTGCTGCTGCTGCTGATGGTGGTGCTGCTGCTGTTGATGGTGTTGATGCTGCTGCTCGACAGCAGCCATGGGCAGTCCCAGAGAGGCACGACGCTCCTCAACCTGATCCAAAGGAGCCGCGGAACGCGACTGACGCAACTCTGGCTTGGAGCTGGCCCGCTTCTGGATTAGTTCGTTGGCCGAGGAGGAAGTGGTCACGCCCGATGCCGTCACTCCAGCAGAACTCGGTGGCGGAGCATTAAGCATAGTCGTGGTCGTGGCATGTTTGTTGCTCAAGTTATTGTTGTTGTTGTGGCTGCTGTGGCTGTGATTGTGGTTCGCCTGGGGCGCCAAGGCAGACACTGTGGCCGCCGACGCTTCGTTGGAGTTGGATGTAGAGATGACGGAGACCGAGGAGACGACGGAATTGTTACCGGCCGGGGATTGTGTGGTCTGCATCAGCTTCTGCATAGTCAGCTCGTGCTCCTGCAGCTGGAAGCTGTTGACGCCCGCTCGCGGCGCACTGTTGATGTGCAGTCCCTTGACGGTCATGATCCAGGGCTCGTCCTGGCTGCTGCCGCCCTGCTTGGCATCCGAGTCCGAGTCGGAGTTCTCGGACTCCGTCTCGCTCTCGTCGCCCTTAGAGACCTTCCACTTCTTGAAGCGATCGATCAGATCGATCAGGTAGGCGTTCTTCTTGGCCTTCTTGATAAACGGATACTTGAGCAACTCCTTGGCCGTGGGTCGGTTCTCCGGGTCCTTGTTGAGGCAGGCCTCGACAAAGTCCTTGAACGACTTGGTGTAGTTGCCAGTCAGCTGGGGCGGATTGTTCTTGGGTATGAGGAAGAGGACGCGCATCGGATGCAGCTCAGAGTTGGGCGGTTCGCCTTTGGCCAGCTCAATCGCAGTGATTCCAAGCGACCAGATGTCGGCCTTCGAATCGTACTGCGATTGCTTAATCACCTCGGGGGCCATCCAGAACGGCGTGCCCACAAAAGTGTTCCTCTTCGAGGTGGTGTTTGTCAGCTGGCCAGCCACTCCGAAGTCAGCCAGCTTCACGTCCCCCTGCTCGCTCAATAGAACATTGGCTGCCTTGATATCTCGATGCAGCTTTCTCTCCGAGTGCAAGTAGTCGAGACCCTTGAGGACCTCCCTCAGTATGATCCCGATGTGCATCTCCTCGAAGGAGCCAGCCTTCATCAGATCCAAGGCGGAGCCGCCACCCAGGTACTCCATGATGATCCATAGCTTGGTGCCCTTCAGGAAGGACCCATAGTACTTTGTCACGTAGGGCGAGTCGCACTGCGACAACACCATGATCTCCTGCTGGATGTCGTCGATCTCATCCTCGGCCTCCTCCAAATCGATTATCTTTATGGCCACCACCTGCTGGGTGCGATTGTCGATGCCTTTGAAGACCTCACCGAACGAGCCCTTGCCTATGCGCTCCTGTTTTGTGAAAATTAGCTCCGGATCGACTTTCTCTGTCCAGGACATGGTTACGCTTGCTTGGGTCGCCTTTCGTGGACCTTGGGGGCTGGGGCTGACGGCGATTTTATACTGGCGTTGCTTTTGGGGCTGACAAATAATTTTTTTCGTTTTAATCCAAGATTTTCTACTTAGTGGTGAGCAAACAGTGATAAGATGACAGTGACAGTGATATCGATTTCGACCCTCAGGAATATACCAAAATATACCGTCTGGTTTACAAAATATACTTCAAATATACTCAAGTTCTACTATACGTATTCCTCAATTTTGATATTCCTTCGAATATTACTAGCTATATAGAACATTTAGCCATGCCTACCTAACTTTATACGATTGATGAATCAATTTTCTATTTAACTGGTATATTCTTAGTACTTGCTTTTATTGCATTTTGCGAAAAAATAGGTTTTATCGAAATAAGTCAAACGAAAAACAAGTAGCGAAATAGGTCAATCAAAACAAACGAAAAGGGAAATTCGTTCATATTGCTCAATTTTAATATTCCATTGAATAATGCTGACAAATTAAATCTCTCAGCAATGCCCACATAATTTTATCCCATTGATGAATAAATTTTCTACAAGGCTGGATAGTTTTTAATCCTTGCTTTTATTGTATTTATTGTAAAAAAAGGTTTAACAGAAAAAGTTCACCAAAAAAAACTGGCACTATGTTGCGTGTAGACCTTTGTATACCCTATTTTGTTAATTTTATATGAAGATGGAACGTGATTTTTAAAGACCTTTTCTCAAATTGATATTCTTTAGACATATTCAAGTACCTTATTAGTATCTTGTGTAAATATATCTCGATCCTGATACCTACGGAGTCTTCGATGACAAACATATTCTTAATTCTATAACATCCATTCCCCCAGGGTATGTGTGCGTGGAATGGGACTCATTGTTGTGAACCGGTTATGACGACTAATTCTTGGTTAATCTTTCTTCCGTCGAATATTCCCAGCTATATAGATCTCTCAGTTTTGCCCAGACAATTTTATATGATAGCTGAATCAATTTTGATCAACATTAACTATTTTTAAGTACTTGCATGTTTTTTGTTTTGACAAAAACACGATTTCAACAAAAATGTTCAATAGTCGCAGGTTGTGACGTCAATGTTGCTGGTATATGCAGACTCATTTGTTGTCAACCAGGGTATGAGCGTTTGTATACCCTATTTCGTGAATATTATATAAAGATACCGTTTTCCAAGCTGCTTTCAAGTGTAATTAATAAAGGCCTTGTTGTAGATTGCATTTTTTTGGTCTATTCATGCATTTGATTAGTTATTTGTAAATAAAACCTGATCCCTGTAGCGATTCTTTGTCTCTGTAAGAGGACCACTAATTGCAAAATATTATTTAAAATAGATACTGATTAGTTTCTGCATTAATTAGAGCATGGGATGAAACACATTTCCGCAATTCTATATCATCCATTTCCCCAGGGTATGTGTGCATGGAATTAGCAACATGTTTGTGTATGGAATGAGACTCATTGTTGCAATAGCGAAACTGCGGCGAATCGGATATTGCCTATATTTCAAGCTATAGATGCCCACTTAGCTTTATCCCATAGATAAATGCATTTTCTACAAAATTGCTTCTTTTAATTACCTTAATGTATTTTATTTTGACTAAAATACGGTTTTCAAGTAAATGTTGCCGCAACATTGTGTATGGAAAGGGACTCATTGTTGCTAAATCGAACTGCGGCGAATTCAAATTCTATTCAAAAAAACGACCAATTCCTCATATTCTTTGTTTCGTTGAATAATACTATCTATATGGAACATTTAGCCATGCCCACTCAATTTTGTACGATTGGTGAACCAATTCTTTACATGATTGGTCTATTCGAAATACTTGCATTTATTCGATTTCTATATAACATTGAAAATTAAATTATTAAATGACAAAAATACAATTTAGCACTAAAAAACACCACATGGGAGGGCGGCGAAAACCAGTTTCTACAGTATGACCATCAGAACAGCACCGAAATATACGGTCTCATTTGAAAAATATACCGAGTTTTGCGCGCCAAATCGAACTTTTTGAATGTGAGCGACAAGGATTTAAATGTTGTCAACCGGGCCTTTATCTATGCCCACATAGTTTTATACGATTAATAAATCAATTTTCTACACAATTGGTTAGTTTTTATTCCTTGCTTTTATTGTATTTTGACTAAAACAAGGTTTAAGCAAAATAGTTCAACACAAAAAACAGTCGCAATGTTGCTGGTATTTAAAGACGTGATGCGTGTATAGACCTTTGTATACCCTATTTCGTTAATTTTATATAAAGATCAAACGTAATTTATTTAGACCTTTTTTCAAATTGATATTCTTTAGACACTTATTAGTATCTTGTATATATTAATGTCGATCCTGATACCTACTGAGCCTGGGAAGACAAACGTATTCACAATTCTATAACATTCATTTCCCCCAGGGTATGTGTGCATGGAATTAGCAACATGTTTGTGTATGGAATGAGACTCATTGTTGCAATAGCGAAACTGCGGCGAATCGGGTATTGCCTATATTTCAAGCTATAGATGCCCACTTAGCTTTATCCCATAGATAAATGCATTTTCTACAAGATTGCTTCTTTTAATTACCTTAATGTATTTTATTTTGACCAAAAAACGGTTGTCAAGAAAATGTTGCTGCAACAGTGTGTATGGAATGTGCAACATTGTGTATGGAACGAGACTCATTGTTGCTAAAGCGAAACTGCGGCGAACTGCGGCGAACTTTGGCGAATTCAAATTCGATTCAAAAAACAACCAATTCTTTGTTCCGTTGAATATTACTATCTATATGGAACATTTAGCCATGCCCACTCAATTTTGTACGATTGATGAATCAATTCTATACATGATTGGCCTATTCCAAATATTTGCATTTATTGGATTTCTATATAAAATGGAAAATTAGATTAATAGATTGAAGAAAATGGACAAAAATACCATGGGAGCGCGGCGAAAACCAGTATTTCTGAAGTATGACCCTCAGAACAGCACCGAAATATACGGTCTCATTTGAAAAATATACCGAGTGGTGCGCGCCAAATCGAACTTTTTGAATGTGAGCGACAAGGATTTAAATGTTGTCAACCGGGCCTTTATCTATGCCCATATATACGATTAATGAATCAATTTTCTACTTAACTGGCCATTTTTTTTTAGTCCATGCTTCTATTGTTTTTTGACTAAACAAGGTTTAAGCAAAATAGTTAAACAAAAAAACAGTTGCAATGTCGCTGGAATTTGAAGACATAACGCTTGTATAGGCCTTTGTACACCCTTTTTCCTCAATTCTATAACATCCATTTCCCCCAGGGTATGTTAGCAACATGTTTGTGTATGGAATGGGACTCATTGTTGCTAAAGCGAACTGCGGCGAACTGCGGCGAATTCAAATTCGATTCAAAAAACGACCAATTCTTTGTTCCGTTGAATAATGTTATCTATATGGAACATTTAGCCATGCCCACTCGATTTTATACGATTGATGAATCAATTCTATACATGATTGGCCTATTCGAAATACTTGCTTTTATTGGATTTTGCATAAAAAAGGGTTTTAGAGGATCAAAATTGCTGAAAGGCTATTATCGAACTAGTTCTGTGCAAACAGCTGCTGCGCCAAACAGCACGTTACGTGTTAACAGTGGGTGGTCTGTTAATAGAAGTGGCTGTCAGTTAAGGAATGATGGGTATCACTGTTGTGTATTTGAATTTGAAATTCTAAATTAAAGAAATATGAAATAAATGTAATTCTATCAAAAATGATTTACTCTTATAGGTATATTAAAAAAATAAATACCCACCAACTGTAGCACCCATTACCCATGGCAACAAACCTTAGCAAGGGTCTGATTATTTTATTTATTTGTTGGCCCTGTCAATGCCAATGCCAACGCAAACAAGCCATGACTTTTAGTATTTCTTGGCCCTCTCTCGGATTGTGCGATTGTGTCGGTCCGGTCGGAAATGCATTTGGTATGTCCAGCGAAATCGGCCAACGAAGTAGAAAGAGAGCCAACGAAAGAGGAAGCTGCTTTGTTCTGTTTTCCTGATATGGGTGGGGGTTGACGCGGGCTTAAACCCCCTTTTGTCGGACATCTTCTGTCTGCCATTTCTCTGGCAGCTCAGTCCCTGACTGCGAATGCCCCTCAAGTGCGGGGGCAAACATTTCCGAGTGGCAATCACACAAGCCGCGACCTCGGGCGGCACATCGAACCCGAATCAATCGCGATAAGGATAACCACTTCCACTTGAGCCAGAACGATGGCGAGGTGGGCCTATAAATGCCTCCGTCAGACGCTGCAGCCGCATCATTGCCACCGCCACCGCCACAATGCCACCGCAAGGCACGAGTACGAGTAAGTGGACGTCCATCCCAATGAGCCGCCATCCTCAAATCTTAAGACTTTTCCCTTTTGATTAGCTCCCTTCTGGCTGCTCGCCTCCTTCCTGGGGCTCCTGTTGCTCCTGCAGCTTCCCCACCAGACGCCTGCACAGTGCATCGACAACCACGAGCCGGGATGCCAACACCCGGCAGAGATTGGAATGGCACAGCGGCACTGCATCGATCCCACCAAGTTCTGGCAATGCTACGCCCTGGGCAACCCGGCGAAGCTCAAATATTGCCGCCCCAACATGGCCTTCGATCAGGATCGCAACGCCTGTGTCCCCTGGATCGCGTGGGTGTGGCAGCCCTGCTTGGAGCCTGTCAGTCGTCCGCCCGGATGGGAAGTATGCCAATGGACAAAATAAGAAATGATACACTAAACGAATAATCTGTGCATGCTGGACCAAATGAATATCATTCTTAAGATTTGTTGTGTATTTTTGCATCTCCTTAAATTAATTAAATGTGCATGAAACCTATACCGCAGTTTTATGGAGACGAACGGAAAAAACGTTGAAAGAAATATCAACTACAGGGCGTTTAAAAATATATTTTTATGTCTTCAGAAGAAGACAGACAGTTTGTGGCGAAATACACTACGATATATATTTTATCGTACTCTCTGTCGCGTCTGCACTGTTTGAGAAATGTGCAAATTAATCTGTTTACTTTGGCACAGCGATGCTCTGTGCACTGCTCATAATTAGGTTCGCACCTCATGCTCAAGTGTCGGAATATTCTACAGGCCCCCTACATTCCCCTTCCCATCCCCTTATCATTCGCAATGTCAAGCGCAAGATTCGAGAAAACGATAAGTGGATATACATATCTCTGGGCTCAATGGGACTTATCTTATACCCTACTTAAGTATGATAGAGATATCTTTTGATCTGCTTCTGTGAATCATTTTTATGCACTAATTTTATTTTTATTTTAGTTAGTTTATGTGAATCTTATTCATCTCTCCTTTATGAGTGACCTCCGGCTGTGAATCATTTTTGTGATTTGATTAAACCATTTTTCTCATTGCTCTTCGTGGGAATGTTAGGGAACGCCTACCTACCCTTTATACCAGTTCCCCTAGTATTGTGGATCCACTTTAATCATCCGCTTGGCTCTTTTCTTTTCTCTCAGTGTTTTACCCTTCCTTTTTCTCCCAGTGCGTTTTTTCGCTCAAAGTTCCATTTATGTATGATCTCCCCACCATTTTCTCTCAGCGGTTTTCCAGCAGTAACCAAAAATAATATTTATACGATCTGATGATGGGCCAGATGCAATTACAATTCCAATTGTTAACGTGTTTCATCTGACAGCAGTTAAGGTCACGCCCCTCAACCTGTCTGGGGGGGGCGGGAGCTGGAAAACTGTTTTCGGTTGACGCCAAAGCATTTGTCATAAATCAATATGCCGCGCTTGTCAGCCACAGACACAGAGACAGACACAAGCCCCATCCGTGGCCCCCACCCGCATGGCCCAGTCAACAGTTGGCAGACTCTCGCTCTGCCGCAATAAGTTGCACTATTTTTGATTCGCCCGGATCCGTCCGGCAGTACATACGTAGTACGTACACACTTTGTGAGAATGGCAGCATTTTATTTCGTTTCGCAGTTGTCAGTCAAAACGCTTTGTCAGGCCGGCGAGCACATCAATAAGCGGCAAAAAATACGTTTCAATCGCAATTTTATTTCTCGATTTTCCCGCCCCCCCCAAACCCTCGGTGCGTGCGGATCCAACAAAATATTTGCATGTAAAAGAATTTTCCACCCCAGCTGTAGAGGAGAAGAGAAGAGAGGCGAGGCGAGGAGGAAATACTCTGACAAGAGACCGCTGGTAAAAATTGTGAAATGAAATTTTAGCATACGTGACGTATACGCAATATATTTAATTGCATTGGAAGGAAGGCTGCTCTTTTTTGTCGCTTCTCTCGGGAAACAATGTATATAGTAGCGAATGGAAGCGGCAGTGTAGGAGATTGATATATATAAATGGTTATAATGGGATCTAAAGGGATCTGATGGTAGCGTGGCAGGAGTTCAGCTTTAAAATGGAAGAAGAAGGAGTTTGAAGAGGAGTGGCAGAAATCTCAACCTGAGTAAAGTTTCTGGCAATCTCAAAATACTTACAAAATACTTACAAATGCCGCACGAATTCCCATAAATCACTTTAGAGAGAGTTGGATGGAGAGTGTGAGAAAGAGGCAGTACCAGTTTTACGACAAGGACAGGGACAGGGCCAGAGACAAGGACAAGGATTTTACAGCCAAGCAGCCAGCCAGCCAGCGAGGAAGCCATCCAGCCAGTCCGCTACGTAGCTTCATTTAATGGCAGACATTAATAACCCGATTTAATTTATGGCCCAAAACTAACAAAAGCCGAATGAGCACAAAATGAGCAACAAAGGCAAAAGGGATGCCATACCCATGCCCCAACCAGGAAGAGCCGGAACAAGGCTCGACTGCGACTGCGACTGCGACGTCCACTGCCAGTGCGACTGCAGCCGCAACATAGTGCAGTGCAGCGGCAATTACTCAAGGGGCACAAGAGGCCCTAATATGCCTTAAGGCGCTACCAAAGCCAGCCGCCGCGGCCGTTGAGTCAGGTGAAATTTGTTGGCCCAGCCCCAAAAATGCCTTTGAGGCAATGTTTTGAATTAATTAGCAGAGGCAGTGCCATGGACAGCGGCTGTGGAACGCTGTTTGCGGCCTGCCCATGCCCATGTCTGGCTATCTCTCGGAAAATAATTTACAGCTGCCGTTGATGTCATGAATATGCAAGCAGGCAAGCGGGAACCCAAAGAGGGTGGAATTAGTGGGCAAAGGAGCTCCTCACCTGGATCTCGGCCTGGACCGCACTTGGCCGGAAGAAACAACAATCGGTTGAGCGGTGGGCAAACAAACAGCGCCATAAACTGCCTGCCAAATTGCAAGCAGAAAGCGGGCCTGGCCTGTAAAACCCGATTCTGGGCGGTCTTATCGCCGCCACAGCATCGCACCTCAGTTCCGCTCGATAAGATAACACTCGGCCTAAGAGCGTATAAAAGAGGGGGCCAGTGATTAGCATAGGTCAGTCCAAGGAAAACCTCCAACCCGAACTCGAAAGCCAAGATGAACTTCCTGCATTTATTCACCCTCTTCTTCGTCCTTTGCCTGGGCAGCCTCAGCAGTGGCGCTTCTGTGGGCCAGAAGCCCACGGGACAGCCAGGCTGCCAGACCGATCAGGAAATCACGGTGGCCACCTATCCCCATTTCTATCTGAAGAACGCCTACTGGATCTGCACCACTAAGGATGTTCCCGCCACACTGGCCGCTTGCCCCAAACCCTCTGCCTGGCTGGATGCGGTCAAGGCCTGCGTTCCCTGGTCCGAGTGGTACTGGTCGCCCACAGCCCTGCCTCCCAGCGAGCCCCTAGCCACGGCCTAGGACTGCACAGATCCAGAAAACAATATGATAATGAATCTGAAATGAATAAAATGATATTGCAAAAAGCAAACAAGGTATTATAGTAATCTTTGCAGAAAGTACGGGTACATGCCTCATAGGGTTGCAATAACTTCTTATCGTAGTCCGTGTTCTTGATAAGTAATAACAGCTGAGGCGATTTGCTTATCTGTAGATCTGTATCTCTGGGCATTAGCCGCTTAGTTGTAATGACACCTTGTTGCCATACAGTCAGTCTTTACATCAGAGGAATCTGGATAGGATCAGTTGGAAGCATCAATAGCAAGAACATTCAAAGTGAGAAGAACCTTTACGGTTACCCATTCCTTGCTTCAACATCTCACTTTTCTTTACCAATTTCCCGAGTCTTTAGCATCTCGCTTCTCCTCTTTCCAGCCATGTCTGAGCGGGACTACAATGGCGAGCCGGGCTGTCGCACCCCGGCGGAGCTGAAGAAGTCCTATCGCCACTACTGGGACCCCACGGCCTACTGGCAGTGCGGCCAGGAGCCGGAGCAGGCGGCACAGCTGAAACGCTGCCCCGCCAATGAGCTGTACTACGACAAGGCGCAACGGTGTGTGTCGTGGAAGGATTGGCAGTGGACGGAGCCGCAGGAGCCGCCCACAAAGGCACGCAAATAAAACATGGCGCATGTATTGAAACAAATTGTCGAAAATATAATTAAAAAGCGCTTTCCGCGACGTGGGAGTGTGGGCTAATTTATGCACAGGCCGATTGCCGGGGGTGGACATAAGCCGCTTTGGTGCCACAGAAGGCCCCTGTAGAGCATGGAGCATGGAGCATGGGGCATGGGGCATGGTGCATGTGAACAGGCGACAGGGCACAGCATGTTGATGCCGGCAAGGATTTGCGTTTGTCCGGGCCATACGTGCAACAATTACGAAGAGTGCGTGAGGACTTTGCCACCGATGGAGGCACACACGCCGGAGGTGGAGGAGCACCACTCTGCGGTGTCCACCTCCCAGTGGACACTGTTTGTTTGCGCAATTTGGTAAATTGACATGATGGCAATTGCCATTGCCATTGCCATTGCCAATGCCGGTACTATGGCGCTGGAGCATCCATGAGCCCCATGAACTTAACTTCTGGTGCTAGCTTTTAATAATTTGTAATTAGCCATCGCCATTTGTGCCACCGAATGTTACAGAGCCTTCCCGTGCACACTATTTTGTGGCATTTGAATAAATTGGTTTGAGTCCTCAATAAATACTCAAATTTTACCAATTTATATCAGAAAGTAACCACTTCAATTCACCCTTTCTGCCCCATTTTTGGGGCATGCAAATATAATTTAAAATTATGCGTTTTGTGCCTCATATTAAACGGGAATTATAGGTAAATTATGAAATTGCCAAATAAAATGATATGTTACGATCTGGTTCATGGGAGAGTACGAGTATTGCGTACAATCAATATAGAAATCCGTGCCAGATTACTTGTTGTTGTTGTTGTGTAAAGCTATTGCTGTTGTTGCAACACTGTGGCAACACACAGCTGTGGCAAAGCAGCACAATCTACGAGTATGTTTTTGTTTGAATTTCAGCTTTGTGTTTGTGTGTGCGGGGGCTCCTCTTTTCTTTTCTTTTCTTTTCGTTTCGCGTTTTTTTTGTACTGTTTGAAGCCCCACAATTTGATATACACAAATCGATTTACTTGCGCATGCAAATAACTTTATTTGCTTAGTGGGTGGCACAAATGGCAGGGAGTGGTAGCAGCATGGGCAATGGGCAATGGGGAATGGGGAATAGGGCATGGGGCATGGGGCGGAGGCAACACACAAAGGGAAGAACAACAGAAACTGTTAACAAAAAGTCGACAGCCTGGGTTGGCTCAGCAGCCAAACAAATTTGCATAAATCGCAGTTGGTAGCACACATACATAGATACACCCCCAACACACACACACACACACCCACACACACACACATACGACCGCAATCACACCCTTAGATACACACATGTGCTTATTCACGCCCATGCAACGACATCGCCATCGACACGGAGTGAGAGGCAAGGCGCAAGGACTAAGTGCATGCTTAAGTGTTTTCTTTTCCATTTACGTGCAACGACGTTGGAGTGAGCAGCGCTGTTGTGGCTTGTCCCCCTCTCTTTCTATGTGTGGGCCCCCTCCAAACACATCCATGGATATATCCATACATACATATATGCATATGTAAATCAAGGTAAACAGAAATCTGTTACAGCATGATACCATTACAATGACATGCAACGGGCCGCACACAGTCTACGTCGACGACGTTCCAGGCCCGATACACGACACAAGATACATGCCCCCAAACCCAATCTGAAACCCCATCGTATGCCCACACACAGCCAAAGTAAACTAGATACTTATACACGTGTCTCATATTGACTGCGATATGTTATACAAATGAGATATTGATGCCGCACCATTACAACAGCAGCGCCAACAGCATCAGCCTGCCATCCGGCCAGACATCCTCGAGTGACGGCAAACAAAACAAGAGTAGCAGCAGCAGCAGCAGCAGCAGGAAGAGCAGTAGCAGTGTGGGGAGTGCTCTAGTAGGAGCAGCAGCAGAAAGAGGAGCACTAGGAACAGTAGCCGTAATGGAATAGGCGGCCATCAAAGCCCCGGATCAGGGGCTGTAGGCATGGACACGGGTTGTTTAACTTGCGGCTTCCCCTGGATCCAAAGACCCAAAGACCAGCATGGCCATGCAATGGCCATAAGGTGTTCTCTTACGCAACCTGAGACCAGAGGCACCGCTAAATGAGAGAGAAACCCCAGTCCCGGCCCATGTGCGTGTCCAATCATGGAGCAATCAAAGCACACAGGCAACGAAGGAAAGCAAACGAGTGGAAAGGAAAGGCAGGAAAGGAAGAGAACTGCAATATCAAAGCCAACGGCGAAAGGATAAGCAAAACAGAAGGAGCGAGGCCTAGGCAAAATTTAAGGAATACGAAAATGATTAGGTGTTGTATAGTTTTCGGTAGAATTCAGTTCGATACAAATGAAATATAATTTAATCTAAATATAAAACAATTTAAAATAAATATTTGATATTACATTTGTAGGGAATATATTTAATTTATAAATTAATTATAAATGAATGAATTAAATGTGAAATATATTTCGATCAAATATTTGTATATTGTTCTAAATCAAATTTGTGTATTATTTTGTGTGTAAATTTGTATTTGTATTTGTGTGTGTATTTGTGTATTATTGTAAAACGTATGTGTAATTTTTTTTAGAAATTTACTCTCGGGGCAAATATAATGGAACTCAGGGTTTTTTTTTCTCTGGGTGTTAAACGTTCACCCAGAGAATGGTCATAGCCAATATCCACTGTACTCTTATTAAGATTTTAATATGGAAAAGCTTTAGCTCTTTCTTCTGCCTTGTCGTCGCAGAGATCCAATTCCCATTACCCTCTGCGGCCAAAGTTAATCAGCTGCATAGACAATTTAGAATTTGTCTCCTCATTCAATGAAAGACATTTACCGATCAATATCTTCACCCTGCTCCCAACAGAGTTTCCACATTTTTGGGGGTACAAATAACAAACGAAATCAAATTTGTCCCCATGAAAACACCTTCAAAGCGACCCTCAACCGCAAAAGCAACACAAAAAGGAGGGCGAACAACAACAATAACAACAACAGCAACGAGTGAGAAATAGGGCAAAATGCAATAACAGAATTCAAATTTGAAATGTGGCGGAAATTGAAATCGAAGGCGTTGAAGTGATTTCGTCTCGCAAAAATTCAATTGAAGAGCCGCAAAACCCCTCCCCCCACCAAACAAAATGTCTCACACAACAACAGCGGCAGGAGCAACAGCAGCAGCAGGAACCACTTCACCACCAGAGCTCCCACTTCCTCCCCCTGCTACAGTGCCACTCCAAGTCCTTATTGTGGCAGACTTCTGGTTTTGGTTACGCGGTGCTGGTTTTGCGGCTCCTTTCGCATGCCACTCCTCGACTTGGGTGCACAATTTTTCCGCTGCATGCAATTTTAATGCGATTTTGGATTTGATTTGTAACCAAAAAATAAGCCAAACAAACTTTACCCTCTCTCTCTCCCTCTGAAAAGTGGTGCCTGGCTGTGGTTATTGTTGTAGCTGTCGTCGTTGTACTTCCTGTTCCTGTTCCAGCGACTCCTGATGCCTCTGATGCTCCTGCTCCTCCCCCTCTATTTGCGCCTCTTGTAACTCTTCTTGTTGCTCCTCTTTTTAAGTGCAAATATAAATTCAACGGCGCAGTAAGCTGCGAGAGGAATGGAATGCTTTGCTGGGTCTGGGTTCTGGGCTCTGAGGTTCGGGTGTTCGAGGGTTCTGGGGGTCAAATATTTATTTGTTGCAGAGCACAAATTTTATTCCGCATACTTTCATGCGCCGCTGCCGCTGTAGCACAATGTGGCACAACTCGCAATGGAAGCTGCACTCACAAAAAACCTAGGTACCATTTCAAATAGAAATAATTCCAAATATTCAGTAAATAGCAAAAAACTGATCATTTTGTTTGATTTGAAAACGAAATGGTTTAAAGATTTGTACGATGCGAATTATATAATTTTTTCGCCGTGTATAAACGGAACTGGTGCTGGTCCTGGCCTGCTCCTGAGAAGTGCAACTGGAACTGAGGCGTATAAAACCTTCCGTTGCCATTCAAGTGGAAAAGTTTAAGCCAACTTTGTGCCCCCCATCCGACGGGCCCTTTTCCGCTGAGTCCCAAACAATTCAAGCGCGAAAATGCGCGCACAGAAAAATCATTCAACGGAAGCCGCAGCAGGAAAAGGCAGGGGCTGGCGAAGGGGTGTCAGGGTGCAAGGGTGCACGGGTGCACTGTCACCACTCGATGGGGCAGGGACAGGGGCTAAAAATGCCAATTATGGCCACTAGAGAATGGTGCGGGGGAAATCCCTTGCACCAAAGCGCTACAACAATAGCCAGCGAGCAGTAAAGTAAAGAAAGGGAAACGGCGGAAAAAACTGTGGCATGCTTTTGAGCGCATTGCGTATGCGCCATGTTGTCGCAGACATGTTTGCGCCGCAGCCATGTTTATGGCAAGTTTATTTATGCAGCAGGCACACAAAACTTAATTAAAGTAACATTCGTCGTCAGCCCCAGGCAATGGGTCAACGCTGAAGTTGTGGAGCGGTCAAAGTTGCAGGAAGGATCGGGACGGAGTGCAGTCGAGTGGTTGAGAGCAGAAGCAGACCAGGCCACAAAACAATTGTAAACTCAATTAAATCCAAGCACCGCTGCGCCGTCAGTCCGGCTCTTAGCTACAGGCCCAAGTTCGACTCGAGCACTCTTTCCTTCCAACTCTTACTCTGCCCCATTCCGGGGTACTCTTTGACTCCTTGTGTGCCGATTTCCTGCCTCATTCTGTGACACTCTCCCGCTCCTCTGCCGCTCTATGTGGTCTCCAGCCTCATTCTGTGGCACTCTCCCCGGGTGTGCTGATAACATACGACAGTTGTGACTTTAAAAATCCCTTTTCGCAATTTTTGCACAAAACTTGTGCAGGATTAATGGTCCGAACGGCCCAGGCAGCCATGCAATTAAAATGCAACAACAAGGGGTACAGGAAACAGGAGCAGTGCCGCTGGTAGTGGCAGTGGCAGTGGGAGCAGCAACAGCAACAGCAACAGCTGCAGGAGTGGGCGGAAATGGAGCAGAAAGATTGCTGTGACTTCAGAGCGTTTGAAAATTCGCATGTGTGACAGAGGGGGGACCAAGGGCCGACCGGAGATAGCCACGCCATTTTAAAGTGGCTGCCGAGGCAGCAAAACGAGCAGCCCCAGTCTCAGTCACAGTAGAGAGGGGCAGCCACACTAGTTAGTGCCTCATGGGAGGCGACACAGCATTGTCCACACACATAGACCCCTACGTGTGTAGGGGTCGCCGCCAGCATTGTACGGGTTTTTGCCCGCAATGGCCAAAGACAAATAATGCAATTTCCTGACTAACTCATTTGGGGTGGCCGTGGCCTCCCATTCGCCTCCCCTACAGAGGAAGAGTAGAGGAGGTGGAGGCTCCGCTCCTGGTGGGACCGTGTCGTGTCACTGACACTTGGTCCCCACTCAGACATTCATTACCTAGGCCCGGAGCCGGGTCTGGCTGCCTTGAATGATCAAAAGGAGGAGTCACATAGCCAGAGACAGAGAGAGATCTGCAAGAGACTAACCAAGAGTGATCACTGCAGACCATGGTTCATCCACATCCAATTTTAGCTCCCCCGAGGCACAGGGCACACAGTGGAGCACTGCCACTCCTCTTTGCTGATGCAATCATTGTCCACTCCAATGGCAACTTCTGGTTTCATGTTGCTGCAACTGCAAGATTAATGCGGTTCAGCATCGAACTTTAAACTCATTTTTAGCCCGGCCCCAGAACTTGATACCGGTACATGTCGTTGACACACACGCACATGAGGCAGACCGAGACGAGACCGGAGACCGGAGCCCAGGACTCCAGCTCCAGGACTCCATTCGGTGGCAGACGAAACACATGTTCAGCAAACCAGTGCCAGTGGCAGTAGCAGTGGCAGTGCCATGGCTGTTGTCCTGCCTGCCCGGCACTTGGTCCCTGGCCCTGTAATTTGTCCCTTACTTGTTGTTTGTTTTGCGCAAAAGTTTGCGGCGACAATTGTTTTGCGGTGTTGCGACAGCACACAGCACATAGCCCAGAAGCACTAGCACTCCCCCTAAGACACACTGCTGCAATGATTGCGATTGCAATTTTCTTTGAAATTTTCTTGTTGCCATGTAATTTTCGGTTTTTGTCCGCATGGCTGCCTGCGGGAAAACGCCAAGATTTATGGCACATCGATTTTTGCCCCCGGAACTTTCATGCGTGCGTTATTTTCAATAAGTGTCAGAGTCGCAAACGATCCATCCATGTCGCGCTTATCATATCGGGACGGCCACTCGGACGTCGCTCATATATCAATTAGTTTGCAATCAATTTAAACTTAATAAACCTTCAGTTCGGACACTTTTAATCGCGATAAGTGGGCAAGGAAGAACCCCAAATTAATAGATAGAGATGGTCTTCGTCCGGTCCACTAGCCTTCGCTGCAATTGCGCAGAGTGCGCCACTGCGTCCAGGGGAAGCAGCCCAGGTATCCGTCCTGGTTGATAAAGGCCTTGTCCTCCCCGCAGGATAGCTGCTTGACGCCATCGTCGGTGCAGAGGTAGTATTGGTTCAACAAATCGGTGGGCTGTGGCTGCTCGGCGCTGATGCCCTCGCAGTCGGGTTCAACAGCGTCCAGGTTGACGCACTGCGGGTTCATCAGAGCAGCTGGCAGGCAGCCCGAGTAGGTGGCATTTCTCACAAAATAATAGTCTGTATCGCACGTATCCTCGTAGACTTCACCACTGATGCAGAAGTAGAATTTGCGTATATCCTCGCCACCCCAGATTTCGTCCTCGTACAGGCACGCCTCTTGATCGCCAGTGGTTCCCACAAGGCTGGCGCTCCAGCACACACCCAAGAGCCCAAGGAATATCAAAAGAGCTGCAAAGGATATTTAATTTTGTAAATATGAATAATTCGAAATGAGTACCAACATACTTTTTTGCATAGTGAATCCTTTCTGAAGGTAGGTTATCCAAAGTTTGTGTTCAATTTGAAAATCTGAAACAGACTAAACTATGTGAAGGCGAGTGGCTGGGCTTTTATAACATTCTATCCAATCAGTCCGACTTATCGCGACTCCCAACTAGGCACCATATCATTGTCAATAGCACTTTGTTTCAGTGATGAGCGAACGTCTTCGAGGGCGATTTTCGGCTACAAAAGTTCCTCATACGCAGTGGTGTGCGCTTATCTTCTCCTTCTGCTATGCAGATAATGGCGAATTCTTGACTTAATTTTCGACTGTTTTCAACAGATATCACGTCTCTCAAGTGGCCAAGGCCTGTACAAATTGATGAGCATTTTCCAAGAATCAGATCCGCACCCGGATGCCTTAAAGGCGTCAGACGCTCGTATTTGGGCTTCTTGGGCCCCATCTGCGGCTGTCTATTGCCCAGAAACTTTTAATTGAATTCTCTCTGAGAGCATGCATCGATGGCAAGCCTATTGGAATTTATGTCGATTATATTGTCAACTTTTCCGTACTCCACGAAGTTTCCCTATTTAAACTTGGCGGTGCCGTAAATAGACTTCCGCAAAAAGTGTCAGGACAGGGGGCACTCTCTGTCTTTCTTCGGGAAACGAAATGGGAAAAGAAGTTCCAATTGACAACGTGACTTAACAACAAAAGTGTCAGCCAGCTGCTGGCGAACTTTTTCCAGGTTATTGAGGCCTGCGACCAGGCCGCAAAGTGGCTTCTTGCCGCTCCCAGGGTCTTCCCCACACTTTAAGCCAAATCAATTAGAAGTTTTGACAGCAGCTGCCTCTGCAGCCGTAAACAAAATCCATTCCATTTCATTATCAGGGTTGGCTTGTCCTAGCCCGGTTCGGTTATGGTTAGGTTCGTAATTAAATTTTCGTCTGATTCGTCTGCAGTAATAATTTCCAAATTTACCCTCATTTGAAAGGCAATTAATGTCCGTGCTATCGCTTTGATAAGACCAGACAGATGTGTGTGGGTGTTGCTGGTATATAGTTGCTAGTAAGTATCATCCAGTAGTCTAAAAATGTATAGTGGTTGTGGTTTTCCTTGACAGTGAATCATTGTCTAACTTCCCCCGTTCTGAAGAAGAGCCATCGAACGATGACAGTGAGCCAGATAGGCATCAGTTATGAAATTGACTGTAGCCACAGGGAGAGTTATAGCCCATACCCAACTGTGGTGATACCATTCGAAACTTATCAATCCCATCGTTCGATTGGAGCAGCAGCAAACTTTAAACTCTGTTGCTTATCTAATCGTAAAGTTGTCTACTGAGAGAACTGAAAAGTGGGAGAGCGACGACGTCACATCGGGCCAAAATAGAAAGGCCCAGACCGAGAGACGATAGACGACAGAAACCATGAAAAATGACTGTAAAAATAGCAATGATAGCGTTGCATGGGCAACATCAGTAAAGTCATGCAATGGGCATGAGTACCACAATGAGTATAAAAACCAAAGACAATGGCGACGCCATCAATCAGTCGAGTCGAGTTTTTCTGTTCGTTCGCACCAGAACCAGAGCCGTAGTGCTACGAAATACATACGAGTACAGCAGCCGTAGAGGAGAGCATATCAATTTATTAACGAACGGCTTATGGGCAAATGATGAAAGCCCGGCAAAGGAAGAACAACACCAGGAGCATCCACATCAGCAAATAATAGCAATTTGCAGTAAGGAAAACCCGGAGAGAGACGAGAGTGCGACGAGAGATAGAGGAGAACTTTGTGTGATAATAAATGTTCTGCATGCCGTTCGTGATGAAATTATTTATGAAAAATAAATGGAATACGCTGCTCCTGATGGTGGTACTACTACTGCCACCGCTGGGGGCGGCACGAGACACTTCCGACCCTGACACGCACACCATGAATGCAACATGCAAACATGCCACCGACATGTGGGGAGATCCGAATCCCAACTTATTCTACATTTGCTCCGCGGACGGACAGCAGCCGCTGCAGCTCCAGTGCCCGCAGGGACGTGGATTTTTCAATGGTCTCGGCTTTTTGGGTTGTTTGCCCTACGACCACTGGCCGGCCTGTCAGATGGCCACGGCCGCGGATGCTGCTGTCCCACTCGCGACGGCGACGGCAACGGCAACGGCGACGGCTGGCTGTGACAGCGATAGCGAGCACTTTACACAACCCTGGCCTGCTCCGGATCCCAATCAATTCTACATGTGCCCCGCCGCGGCGGCCACACCGCTGCTCCTGAACTGCGCCCCCGGCAAGGGCTTCGTGGCCACCTCGGATGCTGTGGGCTGTGCGGATTGGTCCGTGTGGCGACGCCAGATGCAGTGCGAGGATTACTACTGAGCAGCTGCGACCAGCCTCCACGAAATATGTATGAATAGCCGTTGGCAATAATCATCCTTATCCTGGCAACAGTTGTTGCCGCCACTGTGCACACTCGACTCGAATCTTAATTTATTGGGCACATCTCATGGACTCACTGATAAAAGGTCATGTCATCTGCTAGTTTTATCTATAAATAAAGTAAAGTTTCTATATTTAACAAGCCATGGCTCGTCTTCGTCGATAACAGAGCGAAAGATATTTTTGAATATGTTTTCATAAACATTTTGCACAAACAACCTTAAAGAGTGACTTTAAAAGCGGTTCATTAACTCTCATCGGTGGCTATTTATGGGATTAGCTAAATGCAAATTACATTCCATTTGTAGAGGATAATTTTCATTGGAATCGCTGCTCATTTAAGCATATTAAATGATTTTCTTGGATGCAGCATGTGGGGCAAATCCTTTTAGTTCCCAGACTCCCTCCAAAGCCACGCATTATCCTTTGCCATTACTCTCCCTTGTGCTGCCGTTTGCCTGCCTCTTGCCTTGCCCCTGCCTTCCTGTCGGCTGCTGTCTACCGGGTCCTGCCTGATGCCGTGGCGGTCAGCGCTGCCACCCCCCGCACCCGTGCCTGGTAGACAGCTTTGATGTGCTTTTTTACTTTGTCATTCCCCTATGTGGGGATACTTTTTACGGCCACTGTAGCTGTAGCAGCACCAGCAGCAGCTGCTGTCTCCTCCACTCACTTACACTTATAAGCCTTTGTTCTTGCCGTCATAAAACATAGCCCCGGCTCAGGTATACACCAGAATGCGGCATAAGGATGATGACACATGCAGCTGGATGGTGCATAAAAAACGGAACAAAAAGCCGTGCGCTTTATCGGAAATTGCATTCTGCTTTGAGCCCGTCCAGATGCAGGAAATTACTGTCAACTGTTAGCGCCCGGGATGGGAGCACGACCCCAAGACCTAGGACCCACGACCCGCACCATCGCCAGAGCAAGAGCCAGCCTCAGGCTTTAATAAATCTTCAATTTGCATGCATATATATTTTTTCCTTCCATTTGTGCGAGGCCATTAATCAATGGACCCTGGGGGCAATGGCAGGCAACATCACGTATACGTAATTTTAATTGCCACTGGAATAAAAGTGTTTAGTCTGGGCGAGAGGAGGAGAAGGTGTGGGCCAGAGGATGGTCTTCAATTTAATTAAATGTTTGCTTGCTGCTGCTGCTGCTGCTCTCAGCAGAAATCAATGAAGGCGACTTCTTATTTATTGCGTACACTCGACCCCAAAGCCAGGACCCGCAGGAGAAACCGGCACTCGCGTAATGCTGGATGCAAGGATTTTCATCAGCGGAAAACTAATTAGACAATTGGCAACTGAAACGAAGCAGATAATGTTAGGGGAGATTCTTCGTCCAGGGCCAAGAGATGTCCTGGAAAATTAAATTCTTCAATAACAATTGTCAGGGGAAAAAGCATAAATGAATGGAGTATAAAATTGAATACAGCACAATCAGCTGGGAAGCAATAGCTCTTAAAGTCATCTTAAACATCCAGCTATCCAGCTACCCGATTTGGAAGGGGCAATATAGCAATGGAGTTCATAGAAACCACAGGCACTGGCTCCCAAAGGGACGCATGACGCGTCTCGCTCCTCTATTTTGGTCTGGGGCTATTGTAGAGGGACTCTTCATTTCGTTGATTGCCCCACCGCAGGCGCAATAATATTGATCGACTATACGTACAAATGCTGTTCAGTTGCCCTTCAATTTATGTTCTCCCTTTGCTTTAAATTTAACAGAGCAGAGCAGAGCAATGCAGAGCGCACACAGACCCAATGATGGAACGATGGACTGAGAGCAGTGGAGGCAGCAGGGTTAATGTGGCAATGCAAATCCCAAATGTGGACAAAAATGCAATACGAAGTGCAGCGAGCTGGTTGCCGACGCTCTGTGGGTATGGATGCGCATGTGGCACCAAGGCCAGTGCCGGTTAAGGCATGCGTAGCATGCAAGCTACCTGCCTCACAGGGGGTCCATGGCTGTTGCGCTGTGGCAGCTAATATGTGAGTTCCAGGTGCGGACTACCGGGCCCATTATTGACATTTAATACTACTTACGCTATTTACTTTTGATCAGTGTCTTCGCTCCTGTCAACGAGATCGAATAAAGTGCATTGTCAAGAGGAGTTCCAATTGCCACTCTCTTTGGAAGGACACTCACACACACACTCAGACTCCGCTCCGCTCCTGTTGCTGCTGAGTGTGCTGTGGCTTCAATCCATTTACAGGTGTTTGCCCAGAGTCAATGCAGGCGCAGCCAGCCGTAAAACATTTGTCACATTTACATTAAAAGCAGCAGTAAACCCGGGAGCCAGCTTCATCTGTGTTTGCACAGTGCACCGCCGCCATTGCACCGCTGTTGCACGGCACCAAACACCCCACCCCACCCCACCCCACCGTGGCACACAAAGCATCAGGCACACGGACTCCTCGGACCAGTACCCGTTCCCGGACTATGCAATTTATTTGCAGAGTGCACTTGCCAATTAATTCTTATCTCAGCAGCCATGCAGGTTGCCTTTCCCGGCGACTGCATAAATCAATGTGCCTGAAATGATAACTCATCCAAGGCAGGTCGCCTTCGCCCTGCCTCATATGGTCTCCGCATACATATATTCCGGCACACAAATCCTGCTCTAGATCTGCCCCTTCGATTGGAAAGTTTGATTGGAGATGGCGGAGGATACAGCAGCGGGCCGCAGGGGCGGCCATTGTGTGCCAGTGTGGGACCTATTGCAACTCACTCAATTTCATGCTGTCAAATGTGCTGGCAAGACTTTGTCTCCTCTCCTCTCCCCCGCTAATGCCGAAGGCAAGGGCAACTGCTGCACTACGTCTTTACAAATACAAAGGTCTTTGGCCGCCCTCCCAGCGGCTGCGGCGGCGGCGTCTAATTGAATTGCACTGCGATAATGGCCCTGGCACCTCATTCTCAGCGCAGGGCGCTGCCTAATTGAAAAGTGTTGTTACCACGGGCCAAATATCTGCTTCGATTTTGCGATAAATCTGCAATCAGTTTCGTCTGTCTGGCATCAAAGATGAATGCCATTTGGAATTGAGAGCAGTTTGAGGTGAAAGTTGCCGAAGAGATTATCAATTTAAATGAATGCTGTGAGTGATGGAAAATCTTTTGCTTTTGCATTTGCTTGCTCCTCAAATCATTTAATATTCCATTTGGGGTCACCCGTGTGCTTGCCTTGCATTCCAAATGATTCCAAGGCAAACGTTTATGCAACACTTTTCTGTGACATTATTTATGTACGTATGCTAATTGGATACAAAAACCAAGAGGATACAATCCGATTGAAGTTTATACTTATACTGCTCTTCAAATCACTTGAATTTCACTTCAGGGACATTTCAAAGGCGATGCGGGCGGTGTCTTTCGGAGGCGAGGCTGAGGGCATGACAGGAAGATTTGTCTCGCCGTGTGGATTACAAACACAGTCACCGCAATAACGGACTGCCACTGCCACTGCCACTGCCCCGCATAAATTCATATAATTAAAGCGATCCAATTATGGCGAGTCGGTGCCGCTCGGTGCTGCTGTCGACCCTCTTCCTGTCAGCAGCTCTGCCGCGCGCGCGAAATCTGTGGACGAGGACGAGGACGAGCACGAGCATACCCGCTTTCCTTTTGCGAAGGTGGCCCTTGGTGGTGGCGCCTCAGGTGAGGCACACGCAGCCGCTGGGAAATGCTCGCGCGCTTGGGTAATTAATTATGTCAGCTGCAATGACGGGGCTGGAAACATCCGCCGTATACTCGCAGAGGGGCGCAAAAAATTGTGGCCACGGCCTGGGGGCTTGGAGCTGGGCCAGGGTCGACCCTGGGCCCGGCCGGAAACGGAAATAAGCACAAACAGTTGGCGACGGCAGCCGAAACAAACAAGTTGCTCTGAATTTGCCGAAATGATTTATTAGAAACGACATTTCAATTTTTCATCGCCAAGTCCCCGGCGAAGACGGCTGCGAAATAAGAAACGCGTGGAAATAAATAACAAAATTTGCCTGTTGACAAAAATGTAACAATTTCACATGCAACTAAATGCGTATTTCCGACCGGAAGGGCACAGCAGAGGATGGTGGGTGGTGGGTGTTGGTTGAGGGTGCGTAAGGGTATGGCAGGTTGTGGGTCGTTGCCGGATGTAGTGACAGTACTTCCGCTCTGCCGCCATTTTGCTGTTTGATTGAGCCTGTCCCACAGCCAGGGAACGATCCCTTTGAAGGTGCCATCCCCATTAGGTTGAAGGAGCGCACAAGAGTATCCTCCAGAAGTGCTTCAAGAGGAAAAGGACATCTAGACACACACACACACAGGGATACAGGAACGCACACGAAAACCGCAAGGAAACAATAAATTTGCAGCAATGCGAAGCGGAAATGTTTGTAACGGAAATAGAGGAAACGCAGCAAAGTGAAGTGCAGCAGGAGCACAGTGGGAAAGGCAGTAGCAGGATAACAGGAGCACAGTGTCTGTCGTCCTTTCCGCAAGTTGTCGCATGGTGCACGGCAAACAAACAAAGTAATTGGTGCACACAAATTGCCGCCCGCCAAAAGAAGTGGCCAGAAGATGGCAGCAACAACGGAAGAACGGAAGAATGGCTGCTCGAAAGGAGAGAGCAAGTAATGGCTAGTAAATTGTATTATGACCATGATGTTGGCTGCTTTCTACGACCAACCTAATGGCGCCCAGGGTGGGCGCCCAGTCACAGTCACCGGCACATAAATTATGCATATTTAGCCGAGTGAAATTGAAAACTAATTAATTACACTTGCAGCCCCAAGCAGCGGCTAAGAGCCGCCGTGGAGCTGCCCGTGAAGAAAAATGTTGCTCAACTTTTTAATTGCCAGCATCAAGTGTTTTTCAAATTGCTCTTGGCTGTAATTATGGTCGAAAAGTGGCTGAAACGTGAGACATTCTGTGCCGGGCAAGGGTCGCGTAGGATTGCTAAGCTACTGGTCGCTGGAAAGGAGCAAAAGCTCAAAGAGAAAGTTCAGACACTTGTTGGCTCCTGCTAGCAGCTTGACAAACGGGTCGGCAGGGCCCCTTCCCCCAGTTTGAGGTGAATCTTCAAGCGTTTACATGGACTCCTGGCTTTGTATAGCCGGGAATATTTAATGAATTAATGTACGACGGATGTTGGCTGTCTGCCATGAAATGCTTTTGGGGTAAGTTCAGTGTGGCCAAGGTAACGGATTTCGATAAGGTTTACTAGCCCACATCTGGCCACTTCTCATGAAAGCTGCTGTCATGCCTATCCGGGCTAATTTAATGCTTTAAATTCAGAGTGTCAATCAAAGAAGGTATTGATCCATACCAGCCATAGCCATAGCCATAGCCATAGTCCCAGCCATGCACAGCTTAGACAGCAGCAGCAGGAGCAAAAGGCAAATACCAAATAGCATAGGGCAAGGGTCACGTACAGTCGAGTGCCAAAGGGCAACCTTCCACATCTACTCTCTCACCTTTCGGTTCTCCATTCTCCATTCTCCATCTCGTCCTCCATCACCTGTCGTTTGCCTTGGGTTTATATGTTTTGAATTCGATACGTAGGCATAATACAGTTTGCCCGAGCTCTAAGCCTTTTGGGTCTGGGAATGTCGATCCCGGACTCCCGGCCACCCGGCCACCCAGCAATATTTTCGTGCGGCAAGTGCCTGGGAGTTTTATTAGTTGGGGGGTCCAGTGGCAGTAGCAGGAACCCTTTTCAAAAACATGATACTAATAAAAATCCATGTTAATGTTGCATGAATACCAAATAAATTGAGGCAGCCAACACGTACATATGCCATTTCGCTGGCCGTATTTATTGATTGAACATAAAATTGGGCAATTTCATTGACGTTACAATTTTTTATGCCTAAACAGGCGACCGGGGAGCAGTTGCTGGAATTGCTCGGAGATGCCTCCGGGGCTCAAGGCAAACATTGTCTTCTGTAAATAATTTATACCCAACCAAGTGACAAATGAATGCCTTGTCCCGAACGAAGGCTCGGTCCCCGCCTAAGTAGCTGTCACCGCCGCCGGCAGAATTGCAGAGGAGACACACACACACTCTGGCTTATCGATTTCCATGGCTCCTCCTCCTCCTCCTGGCACCCTTCACAGCCAGGCCGGAGGCCGTGGCACGCCTTTCGAAATCAATGCAAGTGGCAGCTGTTGTGGTTGCAACTTTGCTGTTTTTCCCACTCTGATGTGCCTCCCTCCGGATAAACAGCGCTTGATGTTCGCGTAAATGCAGTCAGCAATGGCGACGGCGACGGCGACGGCGACGCTTTCTACTCCTCATTTCCAGCCGCATTATTAATGCATGTGTCTCTGTCTCTATGTCTCTCTGTGCGGGACTGTCGCTTGTTTGAGCAGAGATTTTTAGCGCGAATCAATCAAATCACATGACTGCTTGACTAACAGCCAGTGATTTGATTGATGAACTGCGTCAACGTCAGCTCTGGAGTGCTGGATAGCAACGGGTGGAGCAGTCAAGAGTGAGTCCTGGCTGCTGCACGACTGCCACTTGCGATGACACGCATAGAGCAAACAACAGAGAAAAGGAGCTCCAGCTCCAGCGGAATTAGCTTCATGGGAATGAGGATGAGGCTGAGGCGCCAACCGCTTGAAGAGCAGCGCATTATTGATTAGTGGCTCAAGTCCTTATGGGGGCATTACAGAAGCGGCATTAGATGCTTAATCAAAGTCCCCGACATCAGAGGATGTCACGCCTGATCCCCTTCACTAATGAATATTTAATTTGCTGCCGGGCTTGGCTGGGGCTTCATTTAAAGTCATTTCTTTTCAAGGAATTTTGCAAAAGTTCTGCTCGACAAGAAATGAAATGAGCTTGCATATTTTCTATGTGCAGTTTTCTGTGTCGTAATAAAATATTTTATTACTTTTTAAGTGTATTTGCTACTCGTAAAATTCTGCTGCTTGGCACATTCCCCTTCCCTATTTCATTGCCATCCATTTTTTGTGGAATGTGGCATGCAATGTCACATGTGACGGAATGACTTGGCATCGTCCCGTTCTGGCTTCTGGCATGCAAATTCCAAGTTGACTTCGAGTCAAGTTAGCGAAAGTATGTAAATGTCAGCGCTGAATGCTTGGCAATGCCCTGGAAATGTCTCAGTAATCCGAGTTCGAAATTGAAGGGAACTGGTAAGGATTCTGATGAACTTTCCCCGATTGCACTTGATACGGTTTCAGAATGGATCTTACAAGTGAATGGCTGCTCCACTTACACATTATATGGGAGTCCTTGGTGTAGGGGATTCCACTTCGTCATATGAGATTCGGTCCCTTGGCCTCCAGCTGGGGGCTCCTGTAATTTAACTGCACTCTCCTGCCTGGCTCTTGGCCACATACTCGTCTTCCACATATTTTTTATGCAAATGTGCGAAAATTTCATCGCACACATAGACATCAAATGAAATTGTATTTCTGCGGCAGGGAAAGTACATACAAAAAGTAAAGCTCGACAAAGGCAGAGGGGGAGACAGAGAAATGTCTTATTCTCCCGGCATCGTTGTCCATGGCAGCACTCTGCTGCTGGTTCCTTCACTGCTGATGCCACTCCTTCTGCCACAGCTCATGCTCCGACTTCCACTGATGCTCCAGCCTGGGCGGCTGGTGCTGCGGCTGCTGCTGCGGCTCATCATCATCACCGACAACGACGACGACGACGACGACGACGGCGACGGCATCGTTCCCATTTCATCATTGTCATAACTTTGTGTCACAATTTTACACTCCCTGCCCCACCGCCTCCGCCAGCAGGTCCCATGTGTCCACGTTGCAAGCAGCATCATTTTCCGACTCGAGAATGTAGACACTTTTTTTGTGGCTTTAGCCTGTCATAGATCCTTCCGCCACTAGATAAAGGAATTCGATTTGTTTTTCGGCTGCAGCTAAACCATTTTGTACACATATTACAATATTTCGGCCTGCCTGCGAGCGGCATTTGTGCAACAACTGTGACTGGCACGGGGCAACAACTGCCGCTCTTTGGGGCTGTACATCTGCCTGCCCCCGGGAGAGCCCTGCACCGGCAAACAAACTATTTCAGCATTGGGAAAAATGCTTTCATTCTGCATATGAATGGGATTTTCCTGCCGTTTTTCTTTGTTTGTGTCCTGTTGGACATTTTCAGCAATTTATCGTGCCATCAACGGGGAGAAGCTGCTGCCAAAATCTGCTTAGAGGCGGAACGTATGCCTGGTGTCCGTGCTGGAGAGTTGGCTCCGACTTGGCGACGGCTGCAGAATGTTTTGCATCTTTGGAAGAAAGTTTGTTGCGAGCGAGCACAAACGACTCCATTGCATAATGTGATGATTGCGAAAATTGAAAGTAAACCGAAAATTTATGCCGCCCGAAATGCAAGCTCCGCTCCACAGAATCTGTGGAAGTTAACGCTTCCCCAGAACTGACTGACAAACTCCTTTAAGTGGCCAAACTTTGGTCGTGGCTAAAAAAAGCTAAGAAGGGAACAAGTGGAAGTAACTTTTACATTGTAAGTCCGCCTAGCGAGTGCCCAGGGAGACTGAGAGGCAGAGAGAATAAATGTTAACAAGATGACTACGGGGCAAAAAATGTTCAGGCACTTTCATTGTTTCGCCTTTGAATGGAAAAAATTAACTGAACTGGACTGGACTCGAGAACCTCTCAAATACAGTCGGGGCATTGGGCATGCCACATTTGGTGGCTGGCGAGACTGTGTGGCAGCAGCAGGGCATACCGTGGAATGCCAACTTTTATTTGCATTTGCCAGCCAATAAAACAAAGTTGGCCTGTGCGCATATTACGCGCAAATGAAACGCCCGGACGGACAGTCAATGGCATTGAAGGTTGTCGCCCGCCATTCGACCCGCACCCATTCATGCCCACGCCCCCCCCCCCCCCCCCCTCTTACCCTGCCCCCAATCACTGTCATTTGGCCAAGTTTCTGGCGCATAAACTTTTGCTGCAACATTTGCCATCGCATTGTTTCCAAAGCATTTCTTTGGCAGGAACTGGTAACAGGGAACAGGGAACAGGCAACAGGGACTGCTGCTGCTTCTGTTGCTGCTGGAGGGGCAGCGAAATTAAAGTGCATTGTATGCTAAAAGTTTTCCTCCAGCAAACCGGAACAATGAAAAGTTCATGAAAATTTTTGCTTCAACGCATAAACAATAAACATAAAACTTTTGACCATTAAAAACGCGCCACGGCCCAAGTGACAGTTGCTGTGCCTCTGGCGATGTCGGGGGTCTCTGAGGATTGAGGGAGGCGGGGCTGTAGCCTGAAGAGCTTCCTTTCAAAGTTTTGTGTTGCTCTAATGACAAAAATCGGCTGTGAATTTGATGTTTGGCCAAGAAGTTTCCAGCACCCTATTGTTGTTGCTGCCTCTTAGCCAAGCCAAGCGAAGTGCTCTGCTCAATAGGGAGATCAGCGAGGCCAGCTGGAGGATTCAGTGGAAAAAGTAAACTTTGATGGTGTGGATAGCATTTTTGAGAAGGTGAAGGATCGCTGGGATCTCGTGATGGGTGTAAAACTTATTCTTTATGGCGGAAATCGTTACTTCAGATGCGTGAATGCCTAAAATCTATGCAATATAAACATTTTCAAAGATTCGCTCGATAAGAATCAATTTCATATTCCACTGTTCCAACTCGAAGCAAATTTGTAATTACATTTTTAATAATACTTATATCACGGATAGCATAATAATACTTATATCGATACATTTTTTTACCAATTGTGTTGTCCAAATTCCTGCCGTTTTCCATAGTGTGGTTGATTTCCATAATTCTCTCAAATATCGTCTGCCAATGTAAAAGCTTATTCTGCTTCATTGCTTCAGCGTTCATATTCCATTGTCCCAAATCGCAACATATGTTCCAATTCGCAATACTTATATCGATACATCGATACATTTTATATCGCTGTAAGTTCATCTCTGGCAAGTGTCAATTTTTTCTCCGAAGTATATTTAGTTTTTTCAGTGAAAAGCCGGTAACGAAAAAAAAAATGTCTGACTTATCTCTAAGTAAAATGCCCAAACATTCGCGATTCAATGGCAAATGCAGCCCGGAAAAGGAGGAGCAGCTGCGCGACCAGATCCACAAGGAGTTGACCAAAGCCAGGTACTGCGCCAACCCGACATACAAGTGCAGCTTGGTGCGCATTGAAGGGTACAAGTTTTGCATTCGCCACATTCTTTGGGATCCACTTGCTCCCTTCCGTCGGTGCGCGTTCGAGTACTTGAACAGACGGCAGTGCATAAACGCGGTGCCCAAGTATGATGCCAGGAAGAAGGAGATACTGACGCCACTTTGCTTTGAGCACAATCGTCAGCTTCAGATGCGCAAGGCTCGGATGACCTTGGGCTGTTTTCGGTCTGGCGTAGAGACCAATGAGACGTTGCTCAATAGTCTTGCTCATCACTTGAATGTGAAGGAGCCCGAGGCTCCGAAGCCCGTGGACAATAAAGATGAAGACGATGATGTGATTGATGTTGTGTCACCGCAAGTGACGCCTTTTCGTACGTACAATTATATTCACGCCATTGCGTGCTCTAAACCTAGTTTTAATGTTCCTTACAGTGCCCCAAGAATATCGCAACAGTGTGGAGAATGTTGCAGGAGCGGTGGTTTCACGCAAGCGCATTATGGAATATGCATCCGATATTTCGAGCGATGATGAGGACCCGCCTTGTGCACGGAACACCCTACCAGATGTCGAATTTGATGAGTCTGATTATGAAAGCATCGACTCCGACTACGATGATCCTCTAAAGTAAGATCGCTACTCACCCCAATCGTTGTGATGTCCCTTAAACCTTATTCTTTGTCTGCAGACACGGCGGCGTCTACACTCGTCCCGAGGCCGTGAAGAACACTCTAAGAAAAGTGGAGAAACTTCAGACTCTGTACGGCGAGGAGCTCAAGTTTTTGGCACGCCACATGAGGAAGCGACGGCGCCAGTACTTAATTGACTTACGCAAAGAACAGGAAACCTACTGTGCAGTTCAAACACTTCACGCGTCTGCCACGAGAACTCACAGTTGTATTTATATTTGCAGGCAGCATTTTGGATCAGGCTAAGAAATCACCGCACGAGCTGAAGCTCTACCAAAAGCTGAGGGCTCTCAACAGCTATCATCGTCGCCAGGGTAAAGAGGCGTATTTCTACAAGAGATACAGAGAGAAACGCGACCAGTCCAAGCACGACTACGTGCGCAAGACTTTCTACGTCTCAAAGTGCATTTTCAATTTGTACGGCCATCAGTGTGGACTGCCAGCGATACAGTCCACCAAGCACTGCCGCAGGCATATTCTATCGGATAGACGCCAGATGATATTCCGCGATTGCGGTGAGGAACGCAACGGCAATGTCTGCCAGGATCCTGTCTGGGACCTGGGGAACGAGACATGTGAGCTACATAGGTCCCTGGAGCCGCCTAGGAAGCAGTATAAGCAAAAGGTGAGCCGAATATGTCATCAACTGTTAAGCCACACAACAAAAACAACTTAAAACCAGTGTTTTTTTATTCATACGCCTTAGCTTGAGTCTATAGACTTTGTAGACAATTATTAGTGTTTGCATGTACTGCTGTGATTGAACCTGAATAAATTACCCACCTATTATCCCTCAGTTCTATGAGCCACCGATTAATGCACCAGCAGAAAGTATTTTTGCCCCACGTTCCACTGTCGATCGTTTTGTACTTAATCAGACGTGGACTGAACCGACCCCAGCGGGTCAAAATATCACGGATACCTCGTCTGCTGCATTTGACTATGATGTCGATACGCTATCAGGACTTTCAAACTTTATAGCCAATGAGTTTCTTGATGTGGGTAATGAAGTAACCGTAGGTCTTGAAAATGTCAGTCAAGATACAGAAGCTACTGATCAAGGCAATATCGCAATTGGACAGGATTTAGACCAGTCCGTAATTCTATCAACTGTTGGTGAAGCCAACAACAGTCTCAGTGATATTATGAAAATGCTCGAGGGCATCGAAAGTGCCCCTTGGTTTGAGTCCACAATGAACGACTTATAAAGTAACCATGCATGTAATTACTTCTAATCACAATCATCTATAGAATGTTATCTTTTGTTCATAGTTTTCTCTTATTAACAAATATTTATAATATGTATATGTCTTTCACAGAAATCTGGAGACGCCGGCCTTATACAGAAACAGACTGCCGATCAACTTCTCAAGGATCTTGCCGCACATGTACAGACAATCAAAAAAGGATCTTCAAGGCAAATGACATTTTGTAAATCTGTGCGAACAAAAAACATAACAAGACAACATACAAGACTTTGTTCACACCAAATACTACAGATCCACACATATACATATGTACTTCTAAGCCCTTGAAATGGAATATATAAAATGTATGTTAACATTTAAGCCACTGAAGGCGGTACTTCTTTTAGATGTAAGCCTGTTCCTATAATATTCCGGAAGAATACTTTGGGATACGTGAAAATGATCGACCTCAAACCTTTCTAATGACACAAGTATCTTGTGGAATGGCAAACATTTTCAATACCCTTTAATCACGGTATATTTTTCCAATTCTAATTTATTCTCTACTCTATTCTCTGTTGGCTCAGCAGAGCTTTTTGTATTCTATAAAATACAAATACTTTGCCTAATCTTGTTACATATAGCGTTTGCCTTAGTTGGCAACACGCACATGAAGCAAAGTCAACCACAAACAGATTTCAGAAATAATTCCCATACAATAAAGAAAACATTCGCTGGGGAGCGGAGCTCTTTCTTGTCAGAGATCTGCGCATGCGTCGCGGACAGAGAATGGTAATCTCTTATACCATCGGAGAGAACCGGATGCTGGAGAGATTTGGATGGTTTTGAGAGAGGGCGACCAAGAACAAGAGTCTCTTTCTATAGCCAGTAACCAGTATTATTCAGTTTGTGTTTACATCGTGCACACAACAAGCGGCGACAAAGCCGATTTACACTTCCCAGACACTTGGCACTCGGCTCCGTTCCACCACCGCATCCACCATCTCCAGACGGACACGCACCGGGGGCAGCAGCCGGAGCCGGCAAACAGCTGATGGAAGTCGGGTCTTGGGGCATGGTCGGGGGTACGGTCTGGTGTGGCCCGGTAAACCTGCAGCGTCATACGTATTTTATGCACAGCAGCCATAAAATTGTCGAGTAATTCCGTAAGGCCGTTGCTGGGCTGTTTAAATTTTGAAATACTCGTAACAGTTGCACACAGAAGAGGAAAGCTTCCCCGGGAGGACTGAGGGACGGGTGGGAGCTCTTAAATTTTCTCACAATGAGGCAAACTTTTCATCCGACTCGAAACATTTGTAACATGCCAGGGGGAAAAATATTTATTTCAGCTCGTATGTCATGCGAGTGCCGTGGAGAACGAAGATGGGGCACTAAAACTTTGAGCAATTTTTCAAATTTGTCGCGGTTGCCCAACGCCCCCCACAAGGTGGCTGCGGGTGCGGGGGCCGAGGGTGTGGCATCAACTTGATAATATCACTCTAGCCCTGGCTCTGGCTCTGGCTCTGACTCTGACTCCGAGCCACACGAGGTGGCTCCTGTACAAGTGCCCGGCAAGTTAATGCCTTATGACTATGACCCGACGACGACCTGGCGAGGAGTGAAAACTTTCTGGCGCGCCACCGTCGTTTCGTTCTGGCCACGTTAAGAAATGATTAATGATTATTTCAGCCAGCTGCGTGTGTCTGCGGCTGTGACCCGCCGCCAAGTAAGCGTCCCAAAATATGTTAACGCTTTTTAAATCATCTGGACCCTGCGTGACGAGAGAGAGAGGGAAAGCGAGTGTGTGTGGGTGGGGGTTTTGTTTCAGAACTTTAATGGTTCTGGGCCAGAATTTGTTGGCCTGAGCTCTGATGGCTTTGCATAATAAATAATTGACTGCGCTGCGTTGAGGTTGCGGCAATAAAACATTGTCCAAAGCTCAGAAGAAGACCAGGAGTTAAGGTGCTTAATCAAGAGTTAAAGAAGTATCTGGCTCTTCATCAGCCATTCTCTTTGTACTAGTTCTACGTATATATGCAAATCACCTTGGTTATAGTAGTACGTACTGCATTAGACTGAATCAGGCAACAAAGAACAACAAGCAGATGCGAATTGAAAGGGAATTCTTTTTGGGTTTTTGTAGCAAGCAAGTTTATAAGCCAACGGGGGAAAAAGAACCTTAAAGTGAAATGGAAAATTAATATAGTTTTTGCTTCTTAGCCTCAGTTGCAGCTCAAACGTCTTCGAATAACAAGGCAGCGTCCGCTTCCCTACTCCTCATCTCATCTCCATCTCCAAATCCAGCCAAGAGTCTGGCTGGCAAAGCGCATTAAAGCAGAGTATTTTTGCCAGGATTTTGTTGCTTTCGCTTCTGGGTACACTTAAGCCTTGGCTGGGTATCAACAAACAGTACTTACCAAATCGTTTTCAGCAATGCTGCCAAAAAAGCCAGACAAAGTCCGAGACCAGAGGAGCCCAGGCAGGCGCCCTGTGGGGGAGAGCAGGTCGGTCGGTCGGTCGGTCGGTCCGTCAGACGGTCTCTGGGTTTATAAATTGCATATCGAATTTAGTAATTTTCTGCATTGTGAGAATATCGTGCGTTGCCTGGGGCCCAAGCACATGGTTTGCTTGGGTCTGGGTGTGCGTCTGGTGCTGCTGCTGCTGCTTCTGCTTCTGCCTCTCCTTCGGGTGAGTCATTGGACAAGTGGCTCTTGCGCTGGCTCTAGCTGTGGCTCTGGACTGCCGCTAATCATGCGATCGTCGGATGCATTGTTGGCTCCTGCATTATTCCCTGCCCAGGCACTCGCTGACAGGTTCTGTGCGCTTCCTTCCACGCCCTAATACACCCTGCTCCCTGCTCATCCCTCCTGCTGCTTCTGCTCCTGCTTCTGCTCCTGCTGCTGCTGTAGCTGCACATTTTTCATTTTCATTTAATATTTATGATTTATTTATGTGCGGATGTTTGCTGGCTGTTCTCATATCGTACGAGAATTTATGCTTTCCGCTTTGGCTCCGGTCCTAGAATAGCCCATGGGTCTCTCTGTTCCGCCATCTCCTTTCTAATTTTTAAGCCCAACCTGAAGGCAGACAACAATTTCATGCGCCGCTGGGCACCGGCCACCGTGCACCGTAAGAGGAACTCTCCGTCTGTAACTGTTCTGTTCTGTTCTGTTCTGTAACAATAACCGTAACAGGAGCCGTAGCCAAAGTCGCAGTCACAGTTCCATTCACAGGGCTTATTATGCAAATGCCGACCTGGTCAAGAGCCTCCCCCCAAAAACTGGACCACAATTGTGTGCCTCCTCTCCTGCCCAGGATCCGTAATAATAACAATTTTTGTTCTCGTTTTTTTTTAGCAACAATTTCTCGTTTTCCACTGACTAAACACGGCCCAAACAACAGGAGGAATGCAACTTTTTCAATTAGCCAAGCGGGCGGCATTAGTCTTATCATGGAGCCACTGCTATCTCTGCCTTCCAGCTCTAGCCCCAGCTCCCCCTCTCTCTCAGGCTCCAATGGCTTAGCAGATCAGCTTCTATGGAGGCCAATCGCCTGGGGACTCAGGCCGGTTCGGCTTGGTCCTGGGCAAAGTTTTTAAACACGCCAGCTGACAGCTCTGCGCCAGGGGGCCCATTGTCTGTTGAAAGCGGCCAAAATGTTGCTTACACTTTGGCCACCTGACCGGGCCATAATCGATATTTATTTATTTGGCCATTGAAACAAAAGAGCCAACAAAAAGTTGTGGGGAATAGGTCATGAATGGGTCTTTATAGCAGGAATAGCTAAGGGCTATGGCTATCAAAAGCAGTTAATTATCAATATGAAAATTTGCATATTGTTTTAAGGCATTTTACTAGCTGATTTTGTTCCTTATATCATGCACTTGGGCACTCCAGTACGAACAGGATTTATACTTGATTTTACCTCAATTCTGCAATATTTTCTTGTTGCTTTTGGCTGGCAATCAACCCATTGAGCTGCACACAATCCCACAGAATAAATAAAACATGGAGCTTATGGCCTGAAAATGACTGAACAGCAGCACTGAAACTGCTACTGCCACTGACCCTCCTTAAACCTCAACGTAATAGAAAACTAAATCTCATCTAATATTTAGGTTTTTCCGAACTTGAGGATTCCACAGCCGCTGACCGGCAGACCGCTGTCAACCACAAGCCAGCGAAACATTAACGAAATTGTTCGCCGTCTAGTGGCAAAGACAACGGAGATACAATATTTTTTGGCCCGGTCCGGAGGCTAGCCCTGGCTCAAAAGCAGAACAAAAATTCCAATAAATTCAATGCGACACAGCAGACACTTGGGAGGACTTTGGGGCATGTCACAGCAGCTTCAGTGGCAGCATCAGCAGCAGCACCAGCCAGGCAGCTACGATGGCAGGAGGCGGTCTTTGGGGTCTTTTCGGGGTACTGGGAGTTGGGAGCTGGGCGTGTCTGTTTGTCTCTGTCGTTTGTCTGCCTGTTTGCCGGTCGGTCTGAGGGCTGTGAATGTGTGGCAAAGTTCAGAGCCTTTGACATTTCTGTTTGGGCATGCATTACTCATACGCAACAGAGTCCCGGGTCCAATATGAACTCAAGTTTTCCCGCCAGTTGGCCGAGAACATGGCATGAAGTTTCCTTATCCTCTTGTCCGGGTATTTAGAAATTTAATCAAAATCTCAGCTAATAGTTTTGCCCCGAACATAAATAACGTTGTCTTCGGTCTCTTCCGGCGCCATCGTCTTGGCTGTTTCCCATCAAGTTCGGTTTAAAGTATGTTCTGGTTGCCAGGGAGCATGTGTCACAATTTATATGCAAACTTATCAACGTCGCAATGTCTCCGAAGCATCGTTTGCATGCATACATGCTGCACATGTCTGGCCCTGGCCATTGAACGGGCCAACAAAAAAGTAAGAAAAAGCAACGCTTCAATGTGCTGTTAATTCCCAGGACTATGCATGAAATGTTTCAGCTCCAGACTGCCTTCGATAAGGGCCACAGCCAGCAGAAGGACGAGGACTAGGAACCAGCCGAAGGGCTAGGACTAGTGGCAGTGGCAGTGGCAGTAGCAGGCAATGTCAGCGCCATAAGTTTGGGGATTTTTATTTGGCGTCTGGCAGGAAATATTGCTCACAGGCTAACACATGACAAACGCAGCTGTTTGTCAAGCAGGCGGCCATATGGCAGGATGTCGGGTAGAC